CCCAGACCTGATCCCCCAACCCAGACATGATCCCCCAACCCCAGACCTGACCCCCCAACCCAGACCTGACCCCAACCCAGACCTGATTCCCAACCCCAGACCTGACCCTCAGCATGGGCCTCAGAACCCTCTCCATCCCCAGGGCCCCCTACACCCTCCCGGTTTCCGCATAACCACCACACCCTCCCCTCTAGGGTCCAGAGGAGCAAAGGGCGAGCTGTCGGAGGCCAGCATGGAGCCAGAGAGGAAGGGGCTCTGGTCGGCTTCTTCCAACGGAGACGGGAGAGAAGAAAATAGTGTGTATCGTGTATTGCCTGCATACCAGCCACTCGCCCAGAGCAGTGCTGCAGCTCCCGAGCTCAGAGGCAATGCTGGCTGCAGCCTGCTGCCACGAAATCGGGGAATCCGGGGGCGGGCACTTCACTGAGCTGTAGAGCCAGGTGCCTTCTCTTGGGCAGTCCAGGCATAGGACCCCAGGAGTGTTGGGGGGCGCTGGCTTATGCCGCCTGCACCCCGATCCCACTGTCCAGCTTCTTGGGAAACTGGGAAATTAAACGTGTGGGTGTGAAGGGCTCCCTTGGTGGGTCATGGGGGGCCCTGTACTCGCGTTTCTCTTCCTTCCTGCCCTTGCCCTCTTCAGGCTCGTCTTCGTGGGTAAATGCTTCCTAGGGGTCAACGGCTGGGTTACAGGGCGGGCTCATGCTTAGCTTTAGAAGCTCCCCCAACCATTTAAGGGCCCAATTGAGAGCTCCGGTGGCCCCCCACCTCTGCCGTCCCCACCCGCAGTGGGTGTCCTCACTGCCACTCCGGGCACTCTGGTGGGTGTGGTTTTAATTTGCATTAATTAAATCTCACTGGTTTTAATTTGCATTTCCAGACAGCTCAAGGTGTTGAGCTGTTTTTCACCTGATTATTGGCCATTTGGAGCTCTTCCTTCCGGAGCGTGGTTCTGGGTCTGCAGGCCGCGGTGAGATTGCTCTGTGACCTCACAGACTTGGAGGAGTTCTCTGTATGTCCTGGATACACGCTCTTTGTCAGATGGATGCAGCTTGTCAGTCACTTCATGCTTCCTTTTGATAATCAGAGCTTCTTAATTTAATTCGATTTATGTTTTTTGAGATGGCGCTGGTGGGAGTGCAGCAGTGAGGACGGCCATAGGTCACTGGCATCATCATCTTGGTTTTGGTGGGTCTTAGCCAGCTTCTTTACGGCAACCTGTTTTATATCAGCAGGGTCTTTATGACCTGTATCTTGTGCCAACCTCCTATCTCATCCTGTGACTTACAATGCCTTCACCATCTGGGAATGCAGCCTCATTTTACCCAGCCCCTATTCAAGATGGAGCTGCTCTGGTTCACACACCTCTGACACTTCTACCACCATTCCGTGGACCAGTGTCCGGCCATACGCCCTCTCTTACAGCTCTGGTCTCCATCACTGTGGACTGTGGATGAATTTTGCTGGCTTATGGATGGCACCTCTCAGAATATGCCATTTCATGTCTGGCCTCATC